ATTTTGTACCTTTTAAGTCCCTAATTCATTGATAAACCCATGGAGCACTATGCGGAGGGTAAAGAAGAGAAGCTAAATTGAATGTGGACATCTGCCTTCCTGAATTCTCAGAGGTAGAGGGAGCACATGAAGTCTTGCAGCCAGCCTTGAGCTAATGGTACCATTTGCCATATGCTGCACTTGGTGAAACTAACTTATACGAAATGAATGTAAGAGGTAAACAAATTTTCGATATAATTGGTATAGTTCAGTATATTTTAAGACATTCTGTGTCTCAGTGCACATCTTTAAAGAGGTCATTAGACAGCCTCATGGGGATGATTCTAAACCCTCACTCAACTTGGAAATTGTGATTGGGTCAAGGTCATCCAGATATGTAGTTAGGATTTGTTTCTGAGACCCAAACAAGCCTAGATTGCTAAAATCAGAAACCAAGCATGCTACTTCCCAATTTTCCTATGTCTACACATATAGTCTGAAGTCTGTGTGGAACTCAGAGTATTCAGGGGATCTACTACTAGATACCCCATTTGTCTGTCAGTGTATTGTACTGTGGTGGTTTGTGTGTTGCTGTGATACTAGAAGTTATGTATTTGGCATTTTAAATCCCAGCAGGGCCACCCATGGGGGACAGGTTTCTGTAGAGCTTCCAAACTAAAACAGACTAGGAAAAGGGAGAGATGGACCACTTCTGAATGGTTATCCTTTGAAAACCTTATGAGTACCAGTGGAACATCTGAAATGTAGTTCCAGAACATGATCCTCTCAAGTAGGAAGACACTCAGAATTTGACTGTGGAAGGGCTGCCTCCTCAAAGCAGAACTGACCTTGATGTGGATGGAGCAAAGCTTTTAGGACCAACATTTGTTGGGGCACAACTCAAAATGAGAAGAAACAACTGCAAACATCCTTTAATAACTGGAATATAGAATTTATGAAGTATGAATCTAGGAAATCTGGAAGTCATCAAAAAAGAAATTGAACACATAAAGATCATATCCTTGCATTAGTGAACTGAAATGGATTGGTATTGGCTTTTTCAAATTGGACAATCAATCATCTGGTTTAGTATGCCAGGAATGACAAATTGAAGAGGAATGGCATCACATTCATCGTGAAAAAGAGCATTTCCAGGTCGATCTTGAAGTACAATGCTGTCTGTGATAGGAAATAGCCATATGCTTTCAAGAAAGACCACTTTATACCACTGTTACTCATATTTATGTACAAACCACTAAAGTCAGGGAGGATGGAATTGAAGAATTCTACCAACTTCTTTGATCTGAAATTGATCAAACATTCAGTCAAGATGCATTGATAATTGTTGGTGATTGGAATGCAAAAGTTGGAAACAGAAGAAAGATCAGGAGTTGGAAAATATGGCCTTGGTGTGATACAAATGATGCTGGAGAGCACATGATAGGATTTTGTAAGACCAACTACCTATTCATTGTAAATGCCTATTTTACAACAACATAAAAGGGGACAATACTTATAGAACTCACCAGATTGGGATACACAGGAATGAAATTGACCACTTTTTGGGGAAGACTATGAAGATAGTTATCAGTATCATCAGCCGAACAAGGCAGAGTATGGAACAGCCTGGTGCTCATATGCAACGTCAGTCTGAAGAAAATTAAAACAAATTTACAAGAGCCAACATATGACTTTGAATATATTTGACCTGGATTTATAGACTAGACTGTCTCAAGAACAGATTTGATGCATTAGACATTAATGACCCAAAACCAGAAGAGTTATAGAATGGCATTGAGAACATCATCCACAAAGAAAAGAAAAGGTCATTGAAAAGACAAGAAAGAAAATAGCCAAATGAAAGAGAGAAAGGACTTAAACTTGCTTTTGAGCATAGAGACACTAAAGCAAAGGGGTGGAATAAGGAAGTAAATGAACTGAACGGACTATTTTCAAAGGGCAACTAAAGAAGACAAAATAACGTATTATAATGAAATGTGCAAAGACCTGGAGTTAGAAAACCAAAAGGGAAGACCACGCTCAGCATTTCTCAAGTTGAAACAACTGGAAAAAACAACAATCAAGCCTCTAGTTGAAATATTGAAGGATCCTAGAGCAAAATACTAAATGCTGCAGGAAGCATCAAAGAAGATGGAAGGTAACACAGGTTGATACTCAGCCATTTCAAGAGGTAGCATATGATCAAGAACCAGTGGTATTGAAGGAAGAAATTCAAGCTGAAATGAAGGCATTGGCAAAAAACAATGCCCCAGTATCTCAAAAGAGGGAGCAGATCTTTACAGTGAGGATTATTCCCGCCCCCTCGATACACAAGGTAGACAGGGATGGGCAACTTGGACATTGGCTACCCAAAATGGGGGGCTACAAAGGCAAGAAGTGACTGGCTTACAAGCTTTCAAGAGGGGGCCTAGATCCAGAGGACGCAAAGGAAGGTAGAGTCTCCACTGAGTAGTATCCAATCTGTCTAGGTGGGGCTCATGAGAGGAGATGTTGATAGGTCTCTTGTGATACAATAGTGAATAATTGCTATCAGGACTGACTGTGAGGGTTGGAAATGTAAAGGTAGAAGTTTTGTAGCAAAAGAAGGGGAGTGATTGACTTTGCAGTCCTGGAGCTGAGGTTCCCTGGAACCATCAAGGGAGAAGAGCAGAGTGTGGGACCCTACCCAGAGAAACAGTGATGCTAGAGATGGAGACAGAGATGATGACGTGGAGAGATGCAGTGGCTAGGGTCTCTAGACCCAGAGAAGGAGAGGGGCTGTGTGCTGATGACCAGGGGAAGGCTTTGCAGGATATACCGTTTGACTGGCTGATGATGAATGGAGGGGATTGTAACCATGACAATGAAATTATATACGATAGGATGAATGCAAAGCTAATGTTCTCCCATGTAAACTATCAGATAATTCTCAATAAAACATTTTTTTTTTAATGCTCCAGTAATTGGTGGAATACACATTGAAATGTGACAACAAAGTGATGCCACGCTGGAATACACAGGACAACTTACTGGAAAAGATTCATATTTATGTCCATTCCAAAAAAAGGTGACCCAACAGACTATGGAAACCATTGAACAATACCATTAATATGACATGCAAGTAAAATTTTGCTGAAGATCATTCAAACACTGTTGCAGCAGTCCATCAACTGGGAGATGCCATAAATCCAAGCTAGCTTCAGAAGAGAATGAGGAATGACGGATGTTATTGTTGACATTAAGTAGATCTTGGCTGAAAGCAGAGAATAACAGAAAGTTGTTTACTTGTGCTTTATTGACTATGCAAAGACATTCAACTGTGTGAATCATAGCAAACTACAGATAACATTGAAAAGAATGATTATTCCAGAACACTTAATTGTGTTCATGAAGAACTTGTACACAGACTTCTGGTTTTAAGACAGTTGTTTGAACAGAACCAGGGGATATATGGAATGGTTTAAAATCAAGAAAGGTTTGTGGCATGGTGATATTCTTTCATCATAGCTATTCAATCTTTATGTTGAACATATAATCCAAAAAGCTGGATTATATGAAGAAGAATATAGCATCAGAATTGGAAAGACTCATTCACAACTTTACTTGCTGGAAGTGAAGAGGACTTAAAATACTTACTGATGAAGATCAACGACTGCAGTATGGATTGCACCTCAATGTAAAGAAAACAAAAATCCTCATAAATGGGCGCATATAGAACATCATAATAAATAGAGAAAAGATTGAATTTGCCAAAGACTTCATTTTTCTCTGATTCACAGTCAACATTCCTGGAAGCAGCAGTCAAGAAATGAAAAAAAGATACCCATGTGGCTTTAAGCCAGAGATTTGAGCAACTTTTGTTGCCACCACATCATAGCCTAACCTGACTGTTTGAAAAGCCACTGAATTTTTAATCGCCTCATATGGATTTGAAAGTTGGACAGTGAGTAAGGAAGAATATAGAAGAATGGATGCATTTAAATTGTGGTGTTGGAGAAGAATAATGAAAGTACCATGGACTGCCGGAAGTACCAATGACTCTGTCTTGTCAGATGTGCAACCAGAATGTTCCTTAGACTTGAGGATGGCAAGACTTCAGCTCTCATTCTTTGGGCATGTAGTCAGGAAGGATTGGTCCCTGGAGGAGGACATCATACTTGGTAAAGTGGAGGGTCAGTGAAAAAGAGGAAGGCCCCCAATGGGATGGACTGACACAGTGGTAGCACTAATGAGTTCAAACATAAGAGTTGTGAGGATGGACGAGGCAGTGCTTTGTTCTGTCATGCATAGAGTCACAATGAGTCACAACTAACTCAAAGGCACCTAAGAACAATATCAACAACAAACGATTAACAAATCTCTTCCTGTGTGTCTTTTTAAGAGCAAAGAAACATTTCCCAACCTACCACTCCCAGCAAGTTTCTTCTCACATCCGCCGGCCAAAAATATGTCAGAAAAACCCAAGATGATAAACAAGGAAAACAGGATAGGATAGGTTATGCTGTGATAACAAATATCTCCCAAATTTCAGTGGTTTCAAGCCATAGGAATGTATTTTTCCCCACTGGTGGGTCTGATCAGCTGTGCACGGCTGCTGCCAGACTTCATCCTCATAGAAATATGTTTCCCTTGTTTTCTTGCCTGGGAAAAAAGAAGTGGTGAGCCAAATACATGCATTGAATACTCGAACCAGAAGTGGTACCCAACCCATTGCTTCTGTTCAGTTTTCATGGGCCAGAGCATTTCATACATCACATGAGGCTATCTAATTTCAAGGAGGCACAGAGGTACAATTCTCCTGTGAGGTATGTGTGTAGAATGATGGAGCCAAAATCTGTGAGCATGACAAGTAATTGTGTTAAGAGAGTGGACTTTTAAGGAACTATCAGATGAACCTGAATTTTTTATAATAGTCTTCTACTTTGTTAGAGTGTATCTGGGAAGTGGGTTATATATATGCACTGTACTGATTATTTCCATAATTTTCATGTCTTTCATTCTGTTTTCTTCCTTCTCACTAGGATTCACACCTCCAGGAATGGACAGATCCTCCCCAGATAACAGCCCAGTGCATGGGATGTTGCGCCAACCATCCATCACAACTGGGGTCAACATCCCCATCATCACTGAACTAGGTAGGGGTGAAAGTGGGCTTGGGGGGTGGGGGGTGGGCAGAGTTTTTCTCCTGTCTTCTAAACCATTCTAGATATGTGGAGGTCACGCTATTTCCTAGCCTGTTCGGACTGTGAGGCTCTAGTCGGGTTTGTTTGGGAAGATGATGGGAAAGGGTGCAGGTAGAATCATGGCAGATTTCAAAGGGGAAACTGATCTATCTTTCCTCTGAAATGAATAGATAGTTTCCTTCATGTTGGTCTGTGTTTCCAGTAGAGCATACCATAATGGGTTTAAGATTGAGGCATGGGTTAGGGAAGAGGGACGAGGAGGAGAAAGGCCTACCTAGTTCATGGATTCTTTCTGGTGATTTACATTGGAGGCAGGTCTTTTGATCACTTTATTTAGGCAGCTCCTATGATCTGAAGCCTTCACAAAAGTGTAAGCTTACAGGCTCAGGTGTAAGCCAAACCTGTTTCAAGAACTGGGAAGAAGCAGTGAATTAATGTGTAAAAACTGTGATGTGTAATAACTCTGTATTTAGTCTATGCTGGCTGAACTGCTTTCTTTCTAGCCAGAGTTCATTTGCAGAAAATGCCAACTCTGGTCCAAAAAACTGATGAGGCTTTGAGGACCATGATCATTGGTCAATGATATCCAACTTTTAATGTCTCCATGACATTCCCCAGTAAACTTTGTAATTTGCAAGTCTGCAGAGTGACTCTTTTTCTCCCCTCAAAAGCAATGGTCCTGCGTCCGTCCCTTTGCTTAGAATGTTTCTTCTGTTTTTCCCTCACTCTTTTTCTTTTTCTGTACTTTCCTCCACTCCCTTTCCCCAATCCTTAAATTCTGTGTCCAATTAGCTAAACCAGGCAAGTTGCCTTTGGTATCAGTCAATCAGGAAAAAAACAGTGGGACGCACATTCTAATGATAACCGAACTGGGTAAGAAGCACTGTTTTCCTTCACATCAGTATCTCCTTTTGTTCTGTTGTTGGTGTTCCCAACTCTCATCAGCTTGTTTCTTTAGTTCACTGGCTGCAACAGAAAGGCTACCCTCATGGCACTGCTTTGAATGTGTTTTATTTGTGGCTCTGGTTGGAATCGACTGTCTTGTTCTGGCCTTTCTTAATGATTTTTTTCCCCACACAGCATCAGTAAACCTTTGATCACACCCATCTGACCTGGCAGTTGGTTCCAAAGCATCTTTGCTCAAATTCATTGTCTTTGGCCTGGGCCTTCCTCCTCCCACCCCCACCCCCATATCCCCCTGCTCTCCTGCCTCCTCCCCTTCTATCCTCTTCCAACACACTGTCAGTTTGACTGACACATCTTCACAGCCCTCAGAGGAAGTCAAAGGAGAACTATAAAAATTTTAAGATAAGAAAGCCAAGACCATGCCTTCCCTCCAGCTGTTTATTTTCCTTATTTGCCTTTTTTTCCCCTATTAGACTCTGTTTCAGAAGCTCTGGTTGTGAAGCTGTAAAAGCAGCCAGCTCCTATGGGGCCTTTTCTTGCTAAAGCCAGGTTTCAGGATGGGTTCAGAGGATGGGGTTAGCAGCACTCCAGCCCCTACCCTCCAGCCTTGAGCCCTCCCTGGGGGACTCCAAGTGGACTCATCAGGAAGAGAAAGACCTCGGGTGATGACTGCATTTGTCAGACCCTTTCACAATTCCCATGACTTAGCTAATGACTCCGTGAAAGGTGTCCATCAGCAGCAGGTCTTAGAACTGGGGATTGATAGTCTAAAAACGTGCGGCTCAGTGGGGGCGTGTCTAGAGAGGTGGGGAGGAGACCTGCCTCCAAATGACTCAAAAATGAAACCCACACGCCATCTTCTTGGCCCCCAAATATATTTCAAAATAAGAGAGCAGGCTTTTAACAAAGTAATCTTGCTGTGAGGTGTCTAGAAAGGAAGGAATAAATTGTCCACCACTCAACACTGCATTATTGTCGGTATAGCTATTTATCAGGGCAAAATTCACTTAGGTCAAGGAGTAGCACTCTATTTTCTCTCTCCAACAGTAGGAGAGGGGTATTTTTTATGTTTAGAACAGTTGGCTAAAAGCCTAGGCTTCTGAGATCATCTTTTGAGAACCTTAGGGCTGTAAGAGACAAAGGAATCTCCTGTGGTACTGACCTCTGATTGGAAATTCATCCCAACGTCTCCATGGCAGCAACCTACAGCAGCACTTTGAAGGCATCCCTGTCAGGATTTTTTCCCACTTCTACTTGGGATTTATATGCTGCCAACTAAGATATCTTGATTTGTGATTAGTAGAAGAATTTTTAAAAAGCCTAGCATACCCTGGACCAATAAATACCATCCATATAAATGGAGAGAAGATTGAACTTGTCAAGGACTTCATTTTGCTTGGATCAACCATCAACACTCAAGGAAGCAGCAATTAAGAAGTCATACGATTTATTGTATTAGGCAAATCTGCTACACAAGACCTCTTTAATGTGTTTAAGAGCAAAGATGTCAGCTTGAGGACTTAGGTGCACCTGATGCAAGCCATGGTATTTTCACTAACCTCATATGTATGTGAAAGTTGGGCAGTGAATAAAGAAGACCATAGAAGAATTGATGCAGTTGAGTTATGTTGTTGGTGGAGAATATTGCAAACACCGTGGACTGCCAAAAGAACCAACAGATCTGTGTTGAAAGAAGTGCAGCCAGAGTGCTCCTTGGAGGCCAGGATGGCTTGACTTTGTCTCTCATACTTTGGACATGTTCTCAGGAGGGACCAGTCCCTGGAGAAGGATATCATGTTTGGTAAAGTGGAGGGTTGGAGAAAAAGAGGAAGACCCCCCAACAAGATGGATTGGCAAAGTTGCAGCATCAGTGGACTCAAACATAGCAATGATTGTGATCTTGGCCCAGGATTAGACAGTGTTTTGTTCTGTTGTGCAGAGGGTTGCTTTGAGTTGGTACCAGCTCAATGGCACCTAACAACAACACATATTGCATTGAATGTAATGCAATGATTCAAGTATTTAATTCATCTTGAATCTCCTAAATAATTGAATTAAAGAGATCCTATGTATCTGACTCTCCCTGAACATTGCCCCTCATCAGATGACTTCTGTGTGCTCAGAGAACCCTCCCTATATTTTAATACCAACTTTCCTTCTGCTTTCAGCCCTAGTTTTCTAGTGGTCATACCTCGTTTAGCAACCACTAATGTTTCATTGACTGTACAAAGTCATTTGGACATGCTGACCATAACAAGTTATGGATAGCATTGCAAAGAATGGGAATTCCAGACCACTTCATTGTGTTCATGAGTAACCTGTACATAGACCAATAGATACTCATTCGAACAAAACAAGGGGATGCTGAGTAGTTTAAAATTAGTCAAGGTGTGCATTATGGCTGTATCCTTTCAGCATCCTTGTTCAAATACTCTGAGAAGCTGGACCATATGAAGAAGAATGTGACATGAGGATTGGAGGAAAGCCTCATTAACAACCTGTGACATGCACATATCACAAACTGGTTTCTTCTAAGCAGAGAGCAGTTGCAGCACTTACTGATGAAGATCCAAGACTATAGCCTTCACTATGGATTACACCTCAACATAAAGAAAACAAAAAGATTACCAATGGGACCAATAGGCCACATCATGATGGTGGGTGATTATGTGCCTTGGAGTTGGAGATAGCCTGTATAGGGTTTCCAAAGCTAAAAATCTTTATAAGAGCCGAAAGCCTCATCATCTTCCTTGGAGCAGCTGGTATATTTGAAATTAAGACCTTGCAGTTAGCAGCTCAACTCACAACTCACTATGCTACCAGAGTTCCTTATAAATGGAGAAGCTATTGAAGTTGTAAAGGACTTCATTGTACTTGGATCCACAATGAATAAGGAAGCCTGGAGCAGAATTGATACATTTCAATTATGGTGTTGGGGAAGAATATTGAATATACCATGGACTGCCAGAAGAACGAACAAATCTGTCTTGAAGGTACAGCCAGAAGACTCTGCAGAAGGAAGGATGACAAGATTGGATAAATGGAGGAAGGGAAGGAAAAGCTACCCCTTGATTCTGAGTGCATCCCTGAGCAAGACTTCTTGAGAAGGGCAGAGGGACGCTGAAGATTTTCACCAGGTAGTGGGTGGCTGGAACATTTACCATCAGAGGACAGTGGTATCAGCTAGCATTTATCAAGAGTATAGTGTGATCCAGATGCTGAGCCAAGGTTATCAGGCACTATCTCATATAAGCCTCCTGTTAACCTCATGAGAGAACTGTGGTCATTCCCCCACACTTATAGGTAGAAAAGGAAGGTGTAGAGTGAATAAATGCTTTGCCCACAGTAATTGGCTCCAGAGCCTGGATTCAAAGCTCAGTTCTAGACTATGCCCTCCCACCCAGTTACCGGATGACAGCAAGACTAATTCCATGTGACTCATGGTGATCCCATGTGTGTTAAAGGCGAGTGCTCTATAGTTTTCAGTGGCTTCTTTTCCAGCAGTAAATTGCCAGACCTTTCCTCCAAGGTGCCTCTGGGTAGATGAACCAACTGTTAGGTTAGGAGCAAGCACTTTAAACATTTGCACCACTCATAGTAGGCTCCATTCAGTAGCCTGTAGTCCAAGTGCTTCAGAGACAGTGAGAATCCACATGTGATTAACTTTGGAAGCACAGAGCAAAAACTTTCCTCATTTGAATCTTTCTCTTGGAAAACAAGATAGTGTCGCTTCAGAATAATCCCATGCCTAGTCCTTTTTCTTATGAGCGTTTATTTTCCCTCATACAGTAAACACACAAAAGTGTTAGTTGTTGTTGTTGTTGTTTTTTTAAGTTACCCAAAAAGTTTCTTTCAGAAAATAATAATAATAAAAACAGTGATTCCAGGAATGAGAATTAACTGCTAACGCGTTTAGATAGGAATCAAGAAAGAATGCCGCATCCATCCACCATTCCCTTCTTCAAAGCACAACAATGATGGCAGAGACGACAGTGCTCAGCTCTCCCCCTGCTCCATCACTACAATTACGTGCTCTGCACAACTGATCATGTCTGAAGCCAAGATGGGGATGTAAATTAATTTGTCATTTAATTTTTAATAAGTTGAAGACATCTCCATGACACAACCAATCAGCCTGTATGTGTTGCCGGAGGAGTCCTTGAGAAATCCTCCCATGGAAATAAAATATAGCATCAGATGCTACAATTTCTTGAGAAGAAACCCAAGAAAGACTGAGCCTTGTAGAAGGGAAAAGCAAGAATAGGATGTCCTCTTGAAACTCAAGGAAGAAGAAATCTTTGTGAACAAACAGCCAAAGACAGCCAGGGTCCCATCTCACCTGGGGCTTCCTTTGTATTAAGCTGAGCCTTGTTGATCCCAGACTCTACAAGATCCATCCCCAGGGTCATGCCTGAGGGTGTAGTTCCTTGCTTTTTGTCTTTGTGTGGTCCCAATCATTGTTCTTGCCTCTGAATAAGTTGTTCTTTGTGTCTAACCCTTCTGTCCCAGCATGGCTACTCATTATTGAAATATGTTCATCTCTCAAAGGGCTTGGCTACCAAACAATGCTCCAGGTGGTTTTCGGTCATGATTCCGAAACTGTCTCAGAGGGCTGACCACTGCACTCTCTGCTGGTCTCTGCAATCTGCCATGGACTGAGCCTGTGTCAATTCATTGCTCGCCAGGCCCAGAAGCTGATTAAAGAATCACATAGGAGCCGTCCATTGAGTCCCACTGACCTAACCCCAAGACCCATTTTTGCTTCTCCCATGTTTTGATTTCTTTTTCAATGACCCTAATGTTTCTAAACCAGTAGTCTGGTCTCTCTTTGGAGCTAACTCTTAATTTACGCTTTTTCTAGTGAATGATACTAACGTTCAGTTTTTGGACCAAGACGATGACGATGACCCCGACACAGAACTGTACCTCACACAGCCGTTTGCATGTGGGACGGCGTTTGCTGTCAGCGTCCTGGATTCCCTCATGAGTGCGGTGAGTCACATCCCCGCCCCTCCAGCTCATTTTGGAGCTAAAAAAAACCCCAAAACGAGCTGTCATAGATCAGTGCTGACTAAAGGTGACTCCAAGTGTATCTGGGTAGAACTCTGCACCAGAGGATTTATCTTTTTGACCAGGTTATTAAATTTAATTAGCCATTTTATTGCAGTGGAAATATATACAACAAAGCCTTTGCCACATGAACACTTTGTACAAGTAGAATTCAGTGACACTGATTCCATTCATGTCATGTCGCTAGGACTGCTTTGCTGGTGGTGGTGGTGTTGTTAAGTGCCATTGAGCTGCTTCTGAGTCATAATGACCCTGTGTAGGGTTTCCGAGGCTGGAAATCTTGAGAAAATCTCATCTTTCTCTCAGAGAGTGGCTGATTGGTTCCACCTGATACAGTTCACAGTAGAACCCTCACTGTTAACTGCTATTTTTTTTTTTTTACCACCGTTAATATAATAAAGTTAATCAATGCTTCTTCAGGAAAAATTCCTCTTTCTGCCTCCCTCCCATACCCCATAGCTCTTAATAATCTTTGGTTTCTATGAATTCATTTCTTTCCTATAAGTGAGTCATATAGTATTTGTCTTTTTGCAACTGGCTTGTTCCACTCAGCCTAATATCTTCAAGGTTTATCCATGTGTGACAGGTTTCAGGACATCATTTTTCTTGATAACTGAGTAATAATCCTTTCTATGCACAAGGGTACTTCAGAAAGTGCCTGGGAAAATTCCATTCTCCTATAACTCCATGACCTTTTTAAAGCCCCCTTATATATACTAGTGTAGCACCGTGGGTTAACGTGCTGGACTGCAAAGTAGCTCTGAACTATAAGGTTGGATTTCAGACTCACCAGTTGCTCCTCAGAAACCCTGTACAGGGTTGTTATGGGTCAGAACTGGCTCAACGGCACTCAACAACAACATATGTACTAAGGACTCCTGGTGTGGTGCCCTAGGAAACCCTATGCAAGGTCGCTATGAATCTGAACTGACTCAATGGCACTTAACAACAACAACAGTAGCTAATGGGGGTGTGTGTGTCTTTGTGTGGTGCTGTAGGATAAACACTGGACTGGTAACCACAAGGTCAGCAGTTCAAATCCCCCAGTTGCACCTCAGAAACTGTACACATTGGGGTGGGGAATGACTGACCCCCCCGGACTATATTGTTAAGTGCTGTCTAGTCAGTTTAGACTCATAGCACCCCTATACAGGGTTTCTGAGGAGCTGCTGGTTAATTTGAACCACTGACCTTGCAATCCAGTGCTTTACCCCACAGTGCCACACCAGGACTGTCCCGGGTCATATGTTGTTATTGTTGTCAGGTGCCATCGAGTCGGTACCAACTCATAGCAACCTTATGCACAACAGAATGAAACACTGCCCAGTTCTGGGCCAGCCTCACAATTGTTGCCATGCTTGAGTCCATTGATACCGCCACTTTGCCATTCCATCTACCTGGAGGTCTTATGTTGTTGTTGTTGTTGTTAAGTTGCCGTCGAGTCTTATAAGGCCTGTGAAATCATATGGTCTGGCCCTGCCAAGGCAACTGCAGTTCCAGCTATCACATTAGGGCTGAGTTAGTTAAATGTTTGACCAAATATGTTGTTGTTAAGTGCTGTTGAGTCAATTCTGACCCATAGCACCCCTGTTTTCGGAAACCCAGGTTTCCGAACCTGTAAATCTTTACAGGAGCAGAAAGCCTCGTCTTTCTCCTGCAGAACAGCTGGTAGTTTCGAACTGCTGACCTTAAGTCTCGCAGCCCGATTCATAACCACTACACTCCCAGAGCTCCTTGATCAAATATAGCAGGTTAATTTTTAAGTTGATAATTTTGTAAAGGATGTTATAAATTTTGGCAGAAAAAACAGGTTTCCCACCCTTGCTATGCAGGGTTAGTATGAGGCTGAAGCAACTCAAAGGTACTTAAAGACATCAACAGTGGTTAATGACACTGAGCATTTTTTAATGTGCGGTTGGCTCTTTGAATATCTTTGATGAAATGTCAGTTTCTCTGCCTACTTTCCATTCTTTTACTGGATTGTTTGTCTTTTTGTTGTTAAGTTCTAGATATTTTATATCATTTTGATTTTTGACTCTTATCAGATATATGGAAATTTTTCTTCTAATCCATAGCCGCCTTTTTACTTTATTGATACAGTCCTTTGATGAAGAAATGATTTTATTTGTTTGACGTCCCATTTCTTTGTTTAGTTTTTTGTTGCTCTGCTTTTGTGGTCGTATCTGAAGGTTTGTCTGTCCTTACAAACTAGATCCCACAGCTGTGTTTCAATATTTTTGTCTAAGCATGTTATAGTTTTAATTTTCACATTTTGGTCCTTGATTCATTTTGAATTGGTTTTTGTGTGTGTGGTATGAGGCATGGATCCAAATTCCTTTTGTGTGTTTGTGGAGATTGAATTTTCCCAGCAGCATTTACTTGAAATGATTCTTTATTCACCAGTGAGTGGGCTTGGCATCTGCTTTGAAAATCAGTTGACTGTAGATGTATGGACTTATTTCTGGACTCTCAATTCTGTCCCATTATTCTGTGTGTGTATTATCATATCAATATCCAAACAAACAAGCAAAAAACCGAAAACCATTATCATCACGTAGATTCTGACCCTATCAGACCTAGTAGGACTGACCCAAAGGGTTTCCAAGCCTGTAAATCGTTACTGAAGCAGACTGCCACATCTTTAGCCCATAGAGTGACCAGTGGATTCGAACTGCTCATCTTTGGGGTTGTAGTTGAGTGCACCCGTCTATGTTAAGCACTGTGCCTTTGGAGCACATTTTGCAACCAGAACGTGTGAATCCTCCCCTTTCTTCTCTCCAAGGTTGCTTCAGCTGTTTGGGGTCCTTTACCCTTCTGTCTAAAGTTGAGGCATGGCTTTTCCATTTGTACAAAGAAGGCTGTTGAAATTTTGATGGAGATCATGGTGGATTTATGGATCACTTTGTGTAGTATTGGTGTCTTAACTGTAGTAAACCTTGCAATCCATAATCAAAAATGTCCTTCCTTTATTTAAGTCTTTTTAAATTTTCTTTTAGTAATGTCTTATAGTTTTCTGTGAACAAGTCTTTCACTTTCCTGGTTAACTTATTCGAAGGGACTTTATTCTTTTGCATTGTAAATGCTATTGTAAATGGTAATATCTCCTTCCTTTCCTTTTCCTCTTGACCATTGCTGTTGTACAGATCCCTGTCTGGTTGTTGAATGTTGATCTTATACCCTATCACTTGGTTGAATGTATTTAATAGTTCTAATAACTTTCTTGTGACTTCTTCAAGGTTTTCTATGTGTAGGATCATGCCATCTGCAAAAAGGGATTGTTTGATTTATAGTTTTCTAAAAGTCAAACTGTCAGACCTTTCTTTTGAGGAGACTCTGGGTGAATCCGAACCTGCAACCTTTTGATTAAGAGCTGAGTGTGCTGTGTTTGCACTGCCCTGGACTGAGTCCACTCCAGCAAACGGCACAGTGACTGGCTCTGCCTCCATGACGCTTGAAGTCCAGAAGGGCGGGTCTGATGTTAATCAAATCAACACACAGAGTTTTGACTATTAATTTTCGAAAGGACAAGGATAGTTGTGGTCAGGGGAAAAAATCCCCAAGAAAATAATACGTTTGTTAAGATCTGAGCGAGAAGGATTTTGGTGGGAAGAGTATTTCTTAACATTATTGAGTTGATATAAGAGAAAGATGAGGATTTCTGCTCCTGCAAAGATTTTAAAAGCCTCAGAAACCCTCTAAGGGTACCTATGAGTCTGAACCTACTGGATGACAATAAAGAACAATTGAGTTGATTCTGTGTATCACAGTACAATTGTGCTCCATTGTTGTTGTTGTTGTTAAGTACCGTGGAGTCGGTTCTGACTCATAGTGAACCCTGCTCAGGGTTTCCGAGGCTGTAAGTCATAACAGGAGCAGAATGCCTCATCTTTCTCCCGCGGAACCTCTGGTAGTTAGAGTCTCTTTATTGTCATCATTAAGGGACCAGGTCCTTCTTCTGTGTTGCCATTGAGAGGTTCAAACCTCCAACTTTTCAGTTAGTAGCCAGCTGCAAACTGCTTGAGCCCCCCGGGGACCTTATTCAAAGACGGACAGCAGAAGCAAAAGCCTGAAGGTAGGCAAGAACCCAACACTATCAAAGAGGGGAAAGCCAGTCTGTGTAGGTGGACTCTCGGGAGACCAAGGCAAGGGAGGATCTGCAGCACACTGAAAAGTGTTTTCATGACTTGGGCCTTTATTTTAAGATCAATGGAGAGGTACTGAAAAATCTAAGCTGTAAAGTGATATTTTTTCAAAAAATTCATGGAAACTTTGAATGGAAAGATAGTGGAACTTTTTCATAAACTTTTTGAAGCCTCTGTGTATGTTTTAGGATTCTTGTCCTGGTTTGATATGTAGAGATGGATCACAGACGCAAGATGAAAGTAGGAAGTCTGATTAAGAGACCAAGTAGCTCAGAGTAGGATAGAGTGCACGGGGATGGGAAGAGGTGGGTGAATTTTAGGAGTACTTTCTAAGTAAAACTGACAGGGCTTGGCCATAGACTAGTTGTGAGCAGAAGGGGAAGAGAACAAAAC